GAGAACGGTGATGCGGACGAGGAGAAGGAGGCACAGCGAGACCTTGTGTGGCCTACAAAACAGCCGAGCGTTTCCGTCACCCCCTCCTCCACCTCCCGCCCCCCTTTCCTCATCGTCCTGCTCAACCTTCGTTTTCCCCTGCCGCAGGCTCACAGATACTTATCAAAACCATAAAAGGAATTCCTGGGGCAGCAGGTAGTGGACCTGTCGTCTCTTGAGGTTGTGGGGGCCTACAGCGTGGAGCACAACTACGGTCTTACCACTGGCGGCAGAGATGGAAGCAGCGCGCCAGAGACGAGGAGTTGCATCTGGCACTGCTGCACCTGAAAAAAAACTTGGAAAGCCCTAGACATGGACGGCATTCCCCAGTATTCGGATGCGCAGATTCTGAAAGCGGCGAAGATGTTCAAACAAACGACGGCTGTGGGTTCAGATGGATGGGCGTCGTACCACCTTGCAGCCCGTCCCAAGGAGGCGCGCGAGGAGTTCGGTCAGCTACTCTCCTAACGTGTGGGAAAACTGGCATGGCTGGGCCACTGGTTTCACGTGAGGCACACCATGCTGGCAAAGGAGACCTCTGATCAGCCTGCAGGGTCCGAGCGCACCGTCGGCCTCATGCCAAGGCCCATACACATGTACTCAAATTGGTGCGGAAGAGAGGCCGGCTGCTGGGATCAGACGGGCAAAGGGCCATCAGCTCTTCAAGCGGCGCTAACGACACTGGCGTTGGATGAAGCACCAGGTCATAGTTGTTGCTGCGTTGCTCCCGGATTTGGATAAGGTCTACGAACGCGTAAGCTTCTCAAAGCTGGACGACCGAGCTCTCGACATGCAGTACCCACCTGTCGACATGCTCATGGGTCTCACGCTTCACCTTGCACCAAGGGTGCTCACGGCCCATGGGCTAGATTGCGATAAGCGGGTTTGCCCACACGATGGAATAATTGTGAATTGTTGTGCGGATAATCAGTCACATCGGGCATTGCTTCACCACGTCCTTGATGCGACACACGACAAGCACATCGGCACCTACGCCAGAGAGTACACGGACGACTTAGTTCTCGGGCTGGCAGGAATCATGGCGGTAATCAAACATCAAATGTCGGCGGCCTCCTTCACATTGGTCAAGGGCTGCTTGGACGCAGGCCTCAGCATCGCTGACAAATCAACAATGTTGTCCTCACAAATCATCGATCAGGCAGTCCAAGACAAGCTGGGTCAACTGGGGGCGAGCATCAAGAAACGATTAAATGTGATGGACTTGGGCCTAGATGCTACTCGACGTCAGCGCACATGCTCGGGCGAAAGCAGCTCACGACATTCCCGCCTTGAGTCTACCGACGTCTCTGGCCAAGATGTCAAGGAGCCAAGCAGCCATCGTGTCTGCGTAAGGCACCGCAGTGTTACGGAGATGCTCCATTGCTGTTACAACAGAGACCCAACGACGCCGGCAGCAGGGCAACGAGTGACCAAGTGGGTCAAGCTATGTCGCAGGCAAGAGTCGCTCCGAGAGCGTGTCCGCCAAGCACGGACATACATGGACAACGTCTTCATTGGCAAGACAGAGCATGCGAGGTGTGGAGCGGCGACAAGGCCAACAGCGGCGCCCATCACGGGGCTTGCTGAAACTGGATGGAGGGCAGAACAACCCGACAGATGGACCGTTCCCGATGGAGGCGCATTGGCAATCACGGGCGCCGACGATCTAGACATCACCGACCGTTGCGACAACACCAACAGCAGGACGAACGACTTGCTCTGGAAGCAAAGTGCGCTTCACACCGACGGAAACGAGTTCGAGCACGGCGGCCTGCACCGCGCGAGGGCATCTGCGGCACCCCTGCGGAAGAGGAAGTTCGGCGAGGCGGCTGGAGCGCTTAGGGGATTCGCCAGGGTCCTGCAATCTCTTGCGGCCGACGACAGGGCACCAAAGGAGCAAACGCCAGGCGCTGGGAAACGGGGGCGACAACCCACTGGGGCGCAGCCCCAAGGCGAGCCGAGGAATCGATTGGCGCGCCATCGGGCGAAACTGCCTGGCGACGCACATCTTTGCTGCACTCGAGATTATTGGAATACCAGTAAAGGCAACCTTGGGTGCACACCCCACTAATCCAATGGACAGCAGGCGACATGAGCACACAAAGAAACAATGAAAGCAAAAACCCTACCATGCCCTGGCTCTTTTGCCGGGCTACTAGCCTCTCGCAACGGCGCCGGCGCTGAGCCTCAACCGCGCATTCTCCAGAGCTTTCTCGGCTCGCGCAGGCGCATCAGGACCTACCGCAGTCTAGGAAAAATGCTGCCTGGGGCGATTGGGGCGAAATGCATCCGCGCACTGACCCAGTCCCCAGAAGCGCTGGAGACCGTCGTCGCCGGATGGCTCTGAGACCAAGCGAGACCGGACGCGGCAGAATACGCATTACATCGCGATGCACTAGATGTGGCTAGACAGCGGAGGACACCGTGCACCAGATACGGCTGCAAGTGCAGCGACGACATCCAACATCCCCGGGTGGAAACTACGACGGACGTTCTTGCTGCAGCCGTTGGAGCATCGAAACGGGCCCCCCGTTCAATCCCCTATGGTTTAGAGGCGCTGTGCCAGGATTTCATGGCCAAGTACCGAGCCCAATGTTATGGGTTGAGTAAGATGACGGCAACGGTTGCGACTTCAGCAGGCAGGATGGAGGTGACCTACCGACTGAGAGGAGCTTCGGGATCACGGAGGGCAGCACGCGCATATCGAATGTCGCTTTATTGGACGGCTCAGCGAATTCCACGGAGACGAGGATTGCCATGGCAGGCTGGGGCCGCGCGCTTAGAAGGAGCTCACCCACAGACTGTATCAAGCTCTTTGGTGTGATTCCTTGAAGGCATACAGTCCCCAGCTCGGAAAGCGCGGCCCTGGCGCTCCGCCTCGCGGTGACGGGGGGCCCTATCATCAGATGTACGAACGTGTATGTAGCCGTTGATGGTCAAAGAGATGCAAGACCTGGCGGTGCGAACACGCTGCGGCGGAAAGCTACGGCGCAAGCATGTGAGTCTAGGCCAGGCGGCAACAATCAAGTGAACCTTCGGAAATACGAATCCACTCAAGGCGCGCCGCCCCTAGATGTCGACGTTTCCTTGGGAGATCGTGCGGCAGACGAGTTGGCGAGGGCGGGCGTGGCCAGGGCGATGAATCTCACCCAACCACAGGCCAACGAGTTCAATGGTTGGGAAATCTCGGCATCCAAGATACACTTGGGGGCAGCAGCGACCGTCGGCAACATTGCCGCGAGTCCGAGGGACAAGCACGCGATGAGGCCGAAGGAGAAGCGGAAGCCTTCGACACCAACAAGACAGTCCTCATGGACCTGCAGAGCGGCCACAGCATGATGCAGCGAGAGCATGACCGTCACACATGGTATTTCGTCAGGTACAACCTCTCGCTTGGAGGGGGTAACCCTTTTTACATGGTCTACGAACACGCAGTGCGCTGGATGGGAATGCAAGTCTGAGCACAACACGCCGCTCAAGCTCTCCCAGGCGCTGCGGCCGTCAGTCAAGAGCTGCGACCAGAGCATCGAGCCCAGCCACAACTGCATGCTGATGAATGGCCAGCTGCGGTGCCAGGCGTGTAGGAGGCCGCGACACATCGCGTCGCAAGGGGGCGGTTGTCTCAACAGGCTGCTGGCTCACTGCCCCGGCGGCATGCCGAGGAAGCCGGCGAGAATCGTGCGCAGGACCGGACGCAGCGAGCTTCCAGAGCCAGGTGTTAGGTGCGGCGGAACCGCTGCAGGAGGGAGACGCTCCTTCCCCAGCCGCCGCCCGCCATCCACCCCTTTCCGTCCCTGTCCTTCTCCTTGCACGTCTGCCTGCGCGTTCTCGGGCGCGTAGGCCTGAGTCCTGCTGATGCCGTCCTCCGCTCTCCGCCGTTCATCTTCCCCCCCACCTCAACTTGCACATCCACCCCTCGCAAGCTCTTGAAACCTTAGCGAAATCTGTTACGAGAGTTATAGACACATACATATACATATATCGGAGGTTGAGGGGTGAGATCGAAGTGGAACGGAAAGCCCCCCACCAGGAAATCAGTTTCGGTTTCGTGTTCATGCGTGCCGTGCGTGCGGGCGAGGCGAAGCTGCGTGGGCGGGCGAGAGGAAAGTCTCTTGTGGCTGGGGCGCGGCAGGACCAGATGATTCTCCCTCCGGCAAGCGGTGGCCCGCGGTGTCCCGCTGGTGTCCCGCCGGTGACCCGCTTTTGGTTGGGTCCCGGCCGGACCAAATGATTTTCCCTCCGGCAAGCGGTGGCCCGCGGTGTCCCGCCGGTGTCCCGCCGGTGTTCCGGTGTCCCGCCGGTGTCCCAGTGTCCCACTGGTGCGTAAACGATAGTGAGACCGATGACGAAATCGATTGTGAGATCGATAGTGAGATCGATAGTGAGACCGATAGTGAGATCGATCGTGAGATCGATAGTGAGATCGATAGTGAGATGACTAGTGGTATCGATTGTGATATAGAGTGACATCGATCTTGAGATCGACAGTGGGATCGATAGCGAGATCCAGAGTGAGATCGACAGCAAATTGGACGAGTGAGATCGATAGTGAGATCGATCGAGTGAGATCGATAGTGGGATCGGTGGTCCCAAGAGCGAACGGCTACGCAACAATCACCACTGTTGCCCATTGATGGCCCCCCTCCCCCCCCCAACCTCCTTATCACCCGCAGGGTGGTCGTATAGGTATGTAAGTACGTGCATGTTTGCGTTAAACTCTAGTTCTTCCGACTCCTCCTCCCCTTTCTCCTTCTCCTCCTCTTCCTCTTCCTCCTCTTCCTCCTCCTCCTCCTCCTCCCCATCCCCATTCTCCTCCGTCTCCTCTTCTCTTCGCATGTTTCAGCCTGTGTGCCAGTCGTTTCGTGCAGCCTGTCATTGTAGTGGCCCACAGCAAAAAAAAATCGTTCTCCCCTTCCATTTTCCCCGACGACGGCGACCTCCACGACGACGACGATGACGAGGAGACCGTGCCAGGAGAGCGCGCGCCTGAGCAAGGACCTCCTTCTTTCGCGGGCGCACCAGGCGCCGCCGCAGTCGGCGAGATCGCCGTCGGCTTCGCCGTAGTCGTCGGACTGTAATCGTCGTAGCCGTCGCCGTAGTCCTCGCAGTTTACTCGTCGTCGTTGTCGTCGTCGTTGTCCCGTAGTCCCGTAGTCACGTAGTCGTTAGTAGTCATCGTCGCAGTGGCGGTGGTGGTGGTCGTCGTCCACGTCGTCCTCACTGTCGTCGTGGAGGCCGTCGCCGACGATGGGCATCAGCAGCAGCAGGCGAATGGGGGAGGAGGGAGAGGGCGGAGCAGAAAGGAGGCTATTCTCTCCTCCTCCTCCTCCCTCCTCCTTCTCCCCCTCCACAATTACTCAGTATGAATACTACTCTCCCTCTTCCCCTGATGACGGTTTGAAAGTGCTCGACCCCCCCCCCCGCGTATTGTTTTCTACACAGATGTCCCCGGAGTTGGGTTTTCGCCTGCATCTGTTTCAAAATGCTGCTCTCGCTGAGGCGCCGGCCTCATTTTCGGGCCCCGCTCGTTCCGAATCGTGCTCCCGCTGCAGCGCTGGCCTCATTTCCGTGCTTCCGCTCGTTCCGAATCGTGGTCCCGCTACAGCGCTGGCCTCCTTTCCGCGCTTCCGCTCGTTTCGACTCGTGTTCCCGCTGCAGCGCTGGCGTCATTTCCCGTGCCATGCCACGGTATGCAATGTAATGCTAGGTTGATACTACGCTTTGCGGTGCTCTTCTACGCCATGCCATGCCGTGCTCTGCAATGCATCGCGTACCCTTTCGGGTTCATTGCCCTGCTCGACATCCGACTGTGCGAGTAGAGAGGGGATCTACGCCATGGTAAGGGATGGGAGGGAGGGGTAGGATGTCAGATATGACGCGAGCGCACCTAGCTGTCATTGCTCCTCTCCTCCCCTCCTCCTCCTCCTCCTCCTCATCCTCCTCCCCTCCTCCCCCTCCTCCTCGCCCTCCTCCTCCTCCTCCTCCTCCTCCCCTCCTCGCTCCATCCTCCTCCTCCTCCTCCTCCTCCTCCTCCTCCTCCTCCTCCTCCTCCTCCCCCTCCTCCTCCTCCCCCTCCCCCTCCCCCTCCTCCTCCTCCTGTCAAGCCCCCGCACTGCCCAAGAGATGGGCACGGCCGGCTGGCCGCTGGAGGCGTTCTATGGGTCCTGCAGAGGCCCGCACTCGGCTCGGGCCTCCCGGGACCGCCACGGAGCGATCTGGGACGCCGGCGGAGGGGGAGGAGGAGGAGGAGGAGAGGGGGAGGAGGAGGAGAGGGGGAGGGGGAGGGGAGGGTGGGAGGGGGAGGGGGAGGGGGAGGGGAGGGGGAGGGGGGGAGGGGGAGGGGGAGGGGGATGGGGGAGGGGAGGGGGAGGGGAGGGGGAGGGGGGAGGGGGAGGGGGAGGGGAGGAGAGGGGGAGGGGAGGAGAGGGGGAGGGGGGAGGAGGAGGAGGAGGGAGCTCCATCCACGGGAGCACGAGTTTCGCTTGGGTCGGGCGTGTGGGTGGGCATCGGGAAAAGGGGGGGGTGCAGTCAAGGCGCGAGTGTAAAGGCCACGCTGGGCTCGAGGTGGGCTCCCGCCCCGGCCCCATGGGCTCTCGCCCTGCCCCTGCTCCTCGCCATGGCCCGTTCTCCTCGCCCGTCGCCCTTTCTCCACGCCAAGGCCCCTACTCCTCGCCATGGCCCAAATGTTTTCCTTATAAATAACTTCCCCCTGTCGCGAGGCAAGTTTTTACGGTGGGCCGGGCGTTTCGCTTGAGAATTCTTCACCATCTACGCTGAAGCGTAAAAAGTGGCAATAGCTTCGCAGATGGAGGGCGGATCGTTTTCAAAATGTGGCTCTCTCTTTGGCGCCGAGCACATTCGTTTAAAAAATCTAGACGCCTCGCGTATCCCCACCAGCCCATCCAGAAACGATGTGCAGGCGAGTTGAGGTGATCAGGGAAGTGCGGCAGCAAAGAGGGGGACGGCCGAACCGTGCAAAGGAGTGAGGAGGAGAAGGAGGAGGTGGATGGATGGATGGATGGATGGATGAGGGAGTGGGAAGAAGGAGGATGAATAGGATGGGGAGGAGGCGGAGGAGGAGGAGGAGAAGGAGTAGGAGGAGGAAGGAGGAACAGGAGGAGGAGGAGGAGGAGGAGGAGGGCAAGCACAAGGGCCAGAGGTCTCTTGGATGCCTCTCGGAGCCTCTTGGGGTATCTCTTTGGCAATTCTTGGTGGCCTCTTGGGACGTCTTGGGGGTTTCTTCGCGATCCTGGGGAGCTCTTCGGAGTCTCGGGTGCCTCGGGGGGGCCTCTTAGGGCCGCTCGGGGACTTCTTGGGGGCCTCCTGGGGGCCTCTTGGGCGCCTCTTGGGACCATCTCGGGGCCATCTTGGGACCTCTTAGGGCCTCCTGGGCGGGCTCTTCGGGGTCTTGGGTGCCTCGGGGGAGCTTAGGGCTGCCTGGGATCCTTTTGGGGGCCTCCTGGGGGCCTCTTGGGCGCCTCTTGGGGCCATCTCGGGGCCATCTTGGGACCTCTTGGGGCCTCCTGGTCGCTTCCTGGGGCAATCTTGGAGGAGATCGGTCAAACAAGAGGGGGGGTCACAATTAGCGTCCCCCCCCCCCCCAAGAGGCCAAAATGGGGCCTACACCCTAGTAAAACCAATGAGTTTGGCTTCTTCGCCGAGGCCGTTTTGGACGCCCTGACACCTCGCCCCCCCCCCCCCCCCAGGTCCAGGGGAAGGAGTATGGGTAGGGGTAAATCCCTCCCCGAAGGGAGGGGTGGAAGAGGAAACGCTCTAAACCACCGACGCCCAGAGGGCTAGTGGGATTCGCAAGAGCTTCACGGATTGAGGGCGGGTCGTTTTCAAAATGTGGCTCTCGCCTTAGCGCCCCGCACATTCGTTTTCAAACTGTGTAAGAGCTTCACGGATTGAGGGCGGGTAGGTTTCAACATGTGGCTCTCGCTTGAGCACCGCGCAAGCTCGTTTTAACAATTTACAAGAGCTTCACGGATTGAGGGCGGGTCGTTTTCAAAATGTGGCTCTCGCCTTAGCAACGCGCACCTTCGTCTCAAACAGGTGCGAGAGTTTCACTGATTGGGGGCGGCTCCTTTTCAAAATGAGGCTCTCGCCTTAGCGCCGCGCACATTCGTTTCAATTATCCCAGTGCGACCCTACCTAGGAGTTGGAGCATTTAGGAAAGCAGCATCTACATCTACACCGACAGCTACCTTTACATCTACACCTGCATCTACATCTACATCAACATCAACAGCGAGACTCACATCTACATCTACACCTACATCTACATCTACATCTACACGTACATCCACATCTACACCTACATCTACATCTACATCTACATCTACACAATTTCGCATTGGTGTTGCTTTGCATTGCCGTTGCTTTTGCTATTGCCTTTGCTTTTGCCGTTGCTTTTGCTTTTGATTTTACTGTTGTTTTTTCTTTGCTGTTGTTGTTGTTGCTGCTTGATGTTGTTTGTGCTGTGCCTGCGCTGCGCTAAGCTAGGCTAAGGTAAGCTAACCTATGCTAAGCTAAGCCAAGCTAAGCTAAGCCAAGCCAAGCTAAGCTAAGCAAAGCTAAGTTGATATGGGCTAAGCTAAGCTAAGCTAGGCTAGGCTAGGCTAGGCAAAGCTAAGCTAAGCTAAGATGAGATAAGCTTAGCTTAAGCTAAGCTAAGCTGGGTGAACCCAGGGGGCGCAACTGGGGGAACCGCGGGGCGGATGCCGGGGGAACCGCCCGGGGCGTTTTCCACTGCCCGGCCCTTTTGAGCCAAGACAGTAAGAACCCTTCTAGGCAGAGCCTAGGTAGGGAAAAAGGTGCGAGAGTTTCACGGATTGGGGGCGGCTCCTTTTCAACATGTGGCCCTCGCTTTAGCGCCCCGCACACTGATTTGAAACATGTGTAAGAGTTTCACGGATTCCCGTGATCAACGTACCAGAAATGGAGTTTTGGACGGATTCAGAATTATGCGGGTGCAACAGCTATGCTGATTCGCAGTGTTGAAGTCAAAGAAAGTGCATTCTGGCACGATTCCGGATCGTCAAGACGCAGCAGTCAGGTTGATCCGTGGCATTGAAATCCCGAGAACAATGTTTTGGCATGTTTCAGGGTCTTCAATGGTTGTCTCCCAGCGAGTTCCCTCAATGGAAATAAACCGCTGTTGGGTCCTATGAAGAGGGAGCTTGGAGGGAGGGTTCATTCCAACATCGTTGATGACTCTTGGGTTTACACTGGTCCTCCTCCTCCTCCTCCTCCTCCTCCTCCTCCTCCTCCTCCTCCTCCTCCTCCTCCTCCCCTCCTCCCCTCCTCCCCCCACTCCTCCTCCGGATCTTGCGATGCTAGTGGACAGTGGCGTGGTCGCGGACGTTGGCCACGGTATTTTCGCTTGTAAGAAGGATTGCGGGCTCACCCATGATGGGCTCTGGTTTTCGGGCCGTTCCTGCGATTCGGGTCGGGCAACGCATTCGTGGCCGAGGCTCGCCGTGGCTAGCAAGCCCCTTCGTTCAGCAATCAGCAAGATGACTATTCGAACTCTGATTCATGCAGCTGGTTTCGGACCCGCCACTGGGCGCCTTTTCTCGATGCATTGTCGCCGGGATGCGCCCAGAAAAAGAAGTAGCATGCAGCGGTTTTCGACCCCCCCCATTTGTCCGCCCGGATCCGCGGATCCCTCATTTAAGAAATCACGGCGTCAGAGGTCTGGATATGGCCACATGTTGCCACACTTTGTGTTGCCTAGGTCTGTATTGTTTTAATGTTCTACTCGCGTCCATGATTCCGTACCACATCCGATATCCAATCTTCCTTCACGCAGTTGGTTCCAATTGCAGCATCATGTACGAGAATTGCATGTTTCCATGAGCTCTGGCTGATGTCCCACGCCGCATACCAATGCACGTGAACGTGTGCTGGCCCACCACATACAAACTTACATCACACCGTCGCACGAATCACTATCCCACACCACTCCTCTTCCTCCTCCTCCTCCTCC